AAAAAAAAAAAAAACTTTCCTTGTTTACTGGTAGAAAGGCATTATATCTTTTCCTTTTTTGTTAATACCAAAATTATTTGTTAGTCTTCTTGACGGTTTTTTTTTCTTCTTCTTTGCTGACATGCAAAATCAAACAACCGGAAAAATTCAATGAAAACTTTGATAGAAAAGTTTACAGAGAATTGAAAAAAAAAAAAATTCTTTTAAATTGTTTTTTTTTTTCTAATTTTAGTGCTGCAACTTTCCTCAATTTTGTTGCTGAATTTGGAAAATATCAGTGGTAGAAAAACATTTGCATGTTGACTAAATCGGGTAAAACAGAAAGAAATAAAAAAAAAACTCAGCTGATACAACAAATCCAGCAAAAAAAAAGTTTATTCGACAATTTTTTGTTATGCTTTGAAACAAAAAAAAATGAAATCACTTCCATTTTTTTTTTCGAGATATTCTTTTTCACGATTATTATTATTATTTTTCTTTTGCCTTACTCTCATTCTAAAACTATTATGGGTGCAAAATGAAACTGGAAATATGGAATAAGTTAACAATTAGTATAAATCTTCAGTTATTTTTGCTGAATAATCAATGTTCATAGTGTTAAAAAATATATATGCGAATTTTTGTAAAAACTTTAACGACGAAATAAGCACTCGGTGAACTGTGTAAAATTGTCCGTGTCTCATTTTCTGACCACAACAAAACAGGATAACAACAACTGTAATGACAACCCACTGAACTGCGGTAATCATATGTGATACCGTTTGTGGTGGTCATTCCACTTTCGAAAATCATTTTCACAAACTGATCACTTCACTCAGTTTGTTGATTCTTCTGCAAAATCGTTCTTTACATATCTGCGTAAATTTAATGGTACTTTACTTCTGGAAAAAAAAAACTTCCTCTAACTATATTTTCTTTAAAAGTATAAAATGTGACAGAAAAAAAAAAAGAAGGAAAAGAGGACGGGTAAGGGAAGTGCTAAACAAAGTAAACAATTCCACATTTTGTACCCCCGTAAGAATACTTAACACAAATCACACCGTACAATTCTGTTTGTTCAGTTAACATATTTTGCTTTAGTTTTTTTTTTTTGCATTTCCTCATTATTTTCCAACTTTTCTTTTTCTCTTTTTTTTCCCCTTCCCCTTCCCCCCCTCCCCTTTGCCCTTTTCAAACATATAGTTGCCGCTATGTTTAAATGTGAATAAAGGAACCTCCCATAAGTCACGTTGATGTTATTTTCTTTTTTTTTCTCCCCGTTGTTTGTTGCACTTTTTGAGGAAATTTTATTTTGAAGGCAGACCAAAAAAAAAAGAAGAGAAAAAAAAACAAAAAACAAAACTCGTCGGCAACAGAATAGAACGGGTTAGCAACAAAACTATATGATGAAAAGGGTATGGAAGGAAAGGAGGGAGACAAAAAAAAAAACAAACAAGTTTTTGCAACGTTTATAAAACTATCCCCTTAAATTGTTTGTAGTCATATTATAATATATAATATATATATTTATATATTCATCGGAATAAATAATATATATTTAATTGTTTGTTGGCTATCTGTATAATAACCTACAGCAGTTATTTGGATTTAAGTGGATAATAAAACATACTGAGGTGGTTGTCTTCAGTTTCCTATGGGATTAGTTGACAGAAAAAAAAAAACCATCAACAAATAAAAAGATGAAAACAAAAAAAGAAAAATTTGCTTTTTAATCCAACAACAAAAAAAAAAAAAAAAATGACGAAAATATTATTGCTGCTGTCGTTTAGTTCTTTTTTTTATTGCACCGCTGCTATAATGTCTTTTGAAACCTATTTGAAACTTCAAACTACGGATTTAGCTGAAATTAAGAATGGCTGTAAAAAAAGAAAATATTGGCGATTAAAACCGAGTAATAAACTGCTGTATTTTTTAGTGGTCTTTTCAAATTTTTTTTTTCTTTAATTTGCTATAAATAGTAAAAAGTAAAAGAAAAAACACTTTTTTTTTGCTATTACAAATAGTAAGATGTGTGAATTGTAAAAAAAATTTATTGAAGGTCTGTTTTAACGGAGTAGAAAATTTTTTGATTCATTTTTGATTGGTAACATTGAAGGGAGGTGTGATCGTTGTTTAAGGAAAACTGTGCTCTGTGTACTCGTAAAGATGCCAGTTTTTTTTTGTTTTTTGTTCAGTCATTAGGCATTAACTATCCACCATCTGAAATTGAAAGATGTTTTACAGCAAAAAAAAAAAAGAAAAAAAAGAAGCTATTTTTCTTAGAGAGAACAAAAAAAAAAAATCTATTTTTCTTCAAAATAAATAGGAAGTAAAACTTTTGAAAGATAACAGAGGAACACCCAAAGGAAAAAATCTTTTGTTTTTTGGTTAATTGTCATCTTAGTGAACCTTACTGATATATCTCTATTTTTTTTTAGGATAAACAATGAGAATAACAACAAAAAAAAGAAAACTAGTTTCTTCTTTTTTTTAAGACATAGAATAAGCTCGTTTAACGGCTTCACAAAAAAACAACAATTACTGCAATTTACACAGCAACCAATTTTTGTGTACAAAATTTATCAGCTGTTAACCAACCAAATTAACTGCTCAATTGTAATCACACTGTTTTTTTTTTTTTTTTT